AATATAACAATAATTGTCGTGATGATACAAGAATATTCAGTGATATGAAAATTATCGATTATTGGGTTACCTAAATTTAGTGAAGCAACCTTTCTGATTATTGAATTTACTATTTTGAAAATCCCAAATCATGTATTTATATTCAAATTCTTATCCTACTACACCTTCTTTAAAGCCTATGATACTTGATTGCGGTGCTTGATTAATATTTATCAACAAATGATTTGACAGGCAAACTTAATGAAAATAGCTAAATTTAATAGAATAATCTTGTAATAATGCCTAACTGTAAGCACTAATTGAATTAGTTAGATACTTATAAGTATTCCAAAAAAAAATCAAATGTACTTTTGGCAGATAAAAATAATAATCAAAATAATAGTTGATAATAATGTATATAATTAAGGTTTTTGAAAATCAAATATCTAATTTTCTACTAACAAAAAATACAATAATATTAAATTGGTGTTGTTTATTAAATGCCTTTAAATAAAGATCAATTTCGTTTCTATTTTAATTCTTTTACCAAAATCTAAATAATTTAGATTTAAATAATGATCATAAATCATATCATCTATAATCAAAAAACAATCCTTTCAAGGCTAGAGCTCCTTAAGCTTCGAAATTGGGATTTTAGGAAATTTTTAGAATGGTGGGAAGAACACTATTTTAAATAGTTGAAGGGTTATCCTTATAACGATTATTTGAAGATAACAATTCTACCCTGTCAAAACAGGATATTAAAATAATTCTTCATCAAATAGATATAGCGAAATTTATGTTACAATAGAAAGATATCCTTTTTGTTATAACAGGCTGGGTCTCTTAATGTTTGTGCTATAAGGGCAAAACTTTTTAAATGCAATTTTGGGTAATTTTGTAATTTTATAAACAATTAGTAAAATTGAACTAGTTGACTGATATTATCGTTGTGTAGATATTAATTAGTTTCTAAAAAAAAACAGCTTGAGGTGAGATTACATAGTTCTTATCTTAATGATTAATAAGTTTCTTATATGCAAAATTATTATTGAAAATAGCTCCTTTGGATGTAATTCATATAGAGCTGATTTAAGATAATTGTTATGGATAATTAAGATCTCTAAATCTTATAGGGGTTGGAATATTTATCGATGATTAATATATATTTTTCAGTCCTCTATAATATTTTAAATATCAATTTAAAATAATAAATAACAGGTTACGAAAATATTACCAAGATTAGAGTAGAGTAATTTTAAAATCATTCATTCTCAATGTTTAAACTTTGTTATCATTTAAGATCATTTCTAAGATTAAGGTTATTTTTTAAGTTTTTAAATGTATCTTTCTTCTTATCTTTGTTATTAATTGTATCATTACCTTTTTCTAAACTAAAGATCTAAATTTTACTAAACTATTAGTAATCTTTGTTACGACTAAACCTGTTTACTCTGTTTACATTATAAATTTAATAATTTATTTATAACCGTTGTTTCTGACATCCCAATATTATGCAAATATTTAAATCGTAACAAAAAACATATATTATGCAAAAAGTTATAAGAAAATGATTAAAATTATAATTGTAATGTTTTAATGGATACTCAAATTCACTTTTGCTTTAAGTCTTCTAAAAAGCAACTACCCTTTGATTTAAACAAAGGTTTTAAATCTTTCCCTTAATGATTAATGAACTGTCCTTATAGGATAAGTGTTCCTGATGCTTCTAATAAAGGATTCTAACATATTCTAAGTATTGTACGATCAGGATTAACTAAATAATAATGAATAATAAATACCATTTGGCAATAAGGAGCTATTCTGAAGAGGTATGCTAAACTAGGAAAGCAAATCTTTATAGTTACTATCTGATTGAAGTATTTCCTTTGATGTTTTTACATTCCAAAGACGAATAGAGTTATCATCACTACCAGAAGCTAATGTATTTCCATCAGGTGAGAAATTGACTGAATAAACTGTTGATGAATGGCCATCTAATTTAGCTATTTATTATCCTGTCTTAACATCCCATAAACGGATAGAGTCATCCCAACTACCTGATGCTAATGTAGTACCATCAGGAGAGTAACAAATTGAAGAAACATATTCAGAATGACCATCTAATTTGGCTTTTTATTATCCTGTCTTAACATTAACACAATACCAATCAGAAACTATTTCTGTTTATTTGACAAATTACTATCCATTTCTTAATACTATGTCAAAAAGTAGTATGAATATTAATTAAAACTTTAGCATTGGCTTAAACTCTTCCCCTCAGTCATTGATTAATTTCCAATGCTATATATACCAAAATTGGAACCAGTTAGTTCTTCTATTACATAAACCTAATTTAGAATAAGTATTTGCTTTTTTAGAGAATAATATAGTAGTTTGAATATGAGAAAATTTCTAAATTTATAAATCAAAGCAATCAGATGTCCAAAATCCAAAGAATACTTGCATCGTGATTTATGATTGAAAGAAAAATAAATGAAAGGTCTGGCATTAAGGAGGTTTCGAAGAAATTGAAACTCTCAATGATAAATTTAGAATAATTCATTTGTGAAGAAAAAAAAAGTAAATAAAATATTAAATAAATTAAAAACAGAATAAATATTGGTACATTAAGCCTTAGCAATACTTTCAATAGTTAGATACTAAAAGTAAAGATGTAGCCATTCCTTATTTTGTAGATAAAACTTATAAGGTTGAATGGCAGATATATAATGTTTGGATAAGCAAAACATAGTTAAAAAGAAAGAAATTTATCTGATATTATTATTTATTTCTTTAGAATGTAATATCAGTTAGTGCAATGAAAAATAGCTTGCAAAAGTAATTTATATCTAAAATCTATTTATATTATATTCATATAAATAATGGATTTCTCGCACATTATGGTTTCGTTCTTTTGTATATTTTTTTCCAATTTATATATAAATCTGTGATAATAAAAATTACTTCTAAAATTAGACCCGAAGATAGAATGACTATATGAATCCATCCTAAAATAATTTTTTTGTGCTCATTAAAATATTCATCACAATCTTTGATGTATAAGAATGAACTGAGCATAAAACTCAGTACTGATATCTCTACTACCAACTAGACAATTTATTTATTTTTATTTTATATATGCCTATAGATAAATAACAAGCTAATCTAAAAGATACTTGTTAATAGGAGTAATCCTAATTATAATATTTGGGATCTTTAAATATTAATCAAGAAGATTAAAAAGAAAAATTATCTTCCAAAACATAAAATTTCAAACCTTTTCATCTTTTATAATTTTTATTTAGATTTGAAACCATCTAATAATATGGTAAAATAAAGAATAAGAATTATGCTTGCTATAAAAAGTTATACAATATCCAAGTAACTATTCGTTTAAATGTTTCGCATGTACAATTGAGTTTTAAATATCATATCCCAACCATTCAGAATTAAGGCTTTTTATAAACCTTAAAAAGACATCAACTTTTTCAAATTAAGTATATCTAGGCAAATTTTATAAAAGGATTCCTCACACCTTAAAATGAATTTTGGTTTTATGTATAAGGATAAAGTCGAGGCATAGTAAAAGTTTCTAGAACAAAATATCCATTTGTACATAATTTTCTTTATTAATTGGTACAACATAATAATGAATAAAAATATCAAGCATTATAATATTTGGCAGGAAAGATTTATGATCAAACTTGGGTTCTATTTGTAAACATTAAATTTTCCCTCTGAATATGATTCTTAATTATACTAAAGATCAATGAACTAAAATATTGATAAAAAGTCTATAAATTCTAATAGAGGTTGGATTGTTATCAAATGATTAATAGAAAAATAAATCTCTAAATTTTCTGGAAATTACAGATTAATGTACCTCAAATATTGCTGAAATTAAAGGATTGCCAAAATTTCGATAAATAAATCCCCATTTCCTGTGAGTAGATTTACACAGATAATCCCAGACAAACCATAGATTAAATAAATATTTAAATTCTTCAACTTATGAGAATAATCCTTCTAAGTTTCATCAAGATATTTTGGATATTATAAAGTTATTGATTTTGTAAAGTCTTCCAAAACAACATTATCTATATTAGCAACTGTCTGATTAACTAAAATTGTTAAGATGGGTTTAAATTCAAGTAATTGATAAACAATTATTTCGATGTTATATTCTCCAAAACTTACATATGATCCAACATCCTGTATGATATATAAGCTGCTATTCCAATTCTTCTTGTCTACGTTTGGTAATGTAAAAATTATTGTTTCTGATAAAGGTTAAGTTGTGTATATTTTTACTTATTGATTAAATTTGATGCTTAGGTATTATTTATTCGAAGTCATGTTGAGATATGAAATTTCTAATTTTGGAGGTTTAACAAAAGTGCATGCGCTTGGAGAATTTCTTGTCAACTAGTTGCATATCCNATGGATATTGTAAAGTTATTGATTTTGTAAAGTCCTCCAAAGCAACATTATCTATATTATGGTTGAAATAAACTGAATTATTTTTTATTCTTAGATTTAGATGAATTATATTATATATTTCCTTCTAGCATTAGCAACTGTCTGATTTACTAAAATTGTTAAGATGGGTTTAAATTCAAGTAATTGATATACACTTATTTCGATAATATATTCTCCAAAACTCACATATGATCCCACATCCTGAATGATATATAAGCTGCTATTCCAATTTTTCTTGTCTACCTTTGATATTGTAAAAATTATTGTTTCTGATAATGGTTAAGTAGTGTATATTTTTACTTATTAATTAAATTAAATGCTTAGGTATTATTTATTTGAAGTCATGTTGAGGTAAGTAATTTATAATTTTGGAGCTTTAACAAATGTGCATTCGCTTAGAGAATTTCTTGTCATCGCGTTGCATATCCAATTTTATTCAATCAAGCAATCCTTACATCCATCTACTACTTAATCATTTCCGTCATCGCATTATTCTTATTTCTAAACCAAACCATCTCCACAATTTAATTATAAAATGCATTAATTTGAATTTAATAATTAATATTGATCATTGCACTCTAAACAAGTACCTTGATAGCATAGTTTGCAATTTTCTGGACATGAATAAGAATACTTGCAGTTGAAGCAACCATCAAATTATACAGTATTGCCATCATCACAATCCTCTTCAATTGTGACAATTTGATCACCACAAATTGAAAGGCACTTATTATTAACAAACTTGTACCCATATCCACATTTTAAAATGCATTCCCCTAGATGGCATATGTTGCAATCTTCAGCACATTGAAATTTACATTCAAAACAACCATCATAAGGTTGTAAATTTCCATCATCACATTCCTCATAATATTTGAGAACGTATTTATCTCCACAATGAGGGAAGCATGCATTTTCTAAGAGTTAATATCCTAGTTCACACACCAAGCACATTGATAGTAATTAACGTTTGCAATTAGCTATTAATATAAATCTGCAATCCTAACAATGATCCCATTCTCCATTATCTGTGAGATCACATTATTCAGCCGAATAAGGAACTACATTACCATCCCCACACAAAGACACACAATTAAAATCAGCATTAAGATCAAATCCAAAAACACATTCAAAACATATTCGAAATACACAGGTTTTGCAAAAATTTATGCAAGAATATTTGCATTAATAACAAGAATCATTAGATATTAGATTAGCATCATCACATTCTTCTTAACCTTGTATAATTCCATCACCACAAAATGGATGACAATTGTCAAGAAAATCATCTTTAATCCAACCTTCTTTGCAGTTCAAGCACAAATTATCAATTTACATTTAACAACCTTCATTCAATTTGCTTACTACTATTTCTGCTTAAGTTTAAGATACACTTATATGACAATATTAATCTTAAATCATTCCATCACCACAAACTGGATGGCAATTTTCAAGAAACTTATCTTCAATCCAGCCTTCTTAACAAATCAGGCATTTGTCATCAATAGACTCTAAACATCCTTCATTCAATTTGTTAACTATCTGTTTTTCTGGTTAAGTATAAAATACCTCAAAATCTCTTAGAAAACAATAATTAGAGGTTGGTAGAGTTGTAATTTTCAGTGATAATATAGGATCACAATGGTTTTCTATTAGTACTTCTATTTATTAATCACCAGAAGTACTTAAGGTTTTTTTACCACATGAATAATCTACAATTATTGTAATTGGATCATATATAAAAAAACTTATCAATACATCTTAATGAAGAGGTAGCCAAGTCTAATATTTAATTTGCTAAAATTGCAAGTATTAGCAACCTCCACAATAAAAGTCTTAAAAATAATTTGATGAAAAAGTCCATCCATCTGAGATTGTGATATATTTCTAATTTAATGAATATGAATGAAATAACCATTTTAAGCAAAATATTTGCTAATTCTCTATGCACCCAGCGCAATCATACTAACATTCAATGATACTTAATGAGAATGATACAATTCCTCCTACATAATAGGTATTGATCAAAGTCCAAAGAGTTGATCTTCTATGTTGAATAGTTCCAGATATAGTTAATATTCTTCCACATGTGTGGCTTTAAGAGGTAACAGAAAGATCATTTCTCTAATTATGGTCTATGCTAAGAACAAGATCATAAAAATAACCTAAAAACCTATTGAAATTCATATTATCTTACTAGAACACCTGTAATTCCACTTTGATATGAGAATGATCCTATAGATTTAAAAATATTCTGCTAACAACAACCCAATGAGGTGAAGAAGTATCATATTACCCTAAATAATTACACCCATAACAAATATAAAAATTACAGTTACTATTTAAACAATTCCATCCTAAAATATAAAGTATAAGAAATTACCATCTGTGTTAAATTTGAACTTGATGAGTTATATAAATTAGAAAAATTTAAAATCTCATATTAATTAATGTTAATTGTAGAATTAAATAAAGTAATATTTACAAAATAATAGAATTGTATAAATTAAGGCAGAATTATGGAATGAAATACCAAATTTAATGATTATAAAGGGGTTAGTCACGACTGGCATATGACTGACCCTAAGACGCCAGTAATATGGTCGGTGGCTTTTACAAATTTTACAATTTTGATGAACCACTATTTGGGAATCCCTATTTGGTGATGAAATACTTGTGGTAAAAAAGGAGATGAAATAATCAATGAATGATGGTATAAAATTGGCAATCATTTTGGAGATGAAATATGCTATGAAATTGGCAATGTAATAGGTGATGGAATTGGCGATAAAATAGCGTTGGAAATATGCGATGAAATAGACGATGGAATTGGTGATGATTTATGTGTGATAAAATAGGTGTTGCAACATAAATGATAAAATAAACGATGAAATGTCCGAAGAACTATGTGATTAAATAGGCGAAGCATTAGATGATTAAAATAAACAATAAAATAGGCAATGATATAGGTGGTGAAAAAGGCAAAAAAGAAGGTGATTTAATAGGTGATGAACTAAGTGAAGAAATAGCGAATGAAATAGGTGTTGATAAATGAGATTAATTTGGCAATTTAATAAATAATATGCAAAGTTTAATATTGGATTAATAAGCAATGTAATATGTGATTTTAGTAAGGGATATATATACTCTGTTTAGATTATAAATTTAATAGTATTGTATTTCTATAAAAATTAATTTATAACTGTTGTTCTGACATCTCAATATTTACCAAATATTTAAATACCATTTAATTACTTGCTTGAAATGGAGTACTATTGAAAAACAAAGAAAATGATTAAAATTGTAATTTTAATGTTTATTATGAATATTCAAATTGACTTTTGCTTTAAGTTTTCTAAGAAGAAACTTCCTTTGGATTTTAACAATGGTTTTAAATCTTTCCCTTAAGGATTAATGAATTGTCCTTATAGAATAAGTGTTCCTGATGCTTCTAACAAAGGAATCTAACATAT